GAGTTCTGGAAGCTTCCTGGGAGCATTAGACTTTAGGCTGCGGGTGAACTGTGCTGCACTTTCAACTCTGAAAGTGGGTTGAGGGTCGGAAATTCTTTCTTTTTTAATTTATTTTCCTCACATTTTAAAATTGGTGCATTAGTTGTACACAACAAGGGATCTGTCGCTACATATTTGTACCTGCACACAGTATAACCATATAATTTGGCCAGTATCACTCCCAGCACTTGCTCAGATTCTTTGGTTTGTTCAGTGGATGTCTACTGAGCACTGTGGTGTTCTGGGGAGACTGTGGTCCCCCCTGCAGGGGACATGGACTCAACAGCACTTCCCAGGAGATGGCACACTCCCTCTGCAGGCACTTGACACTGTGCCTCATTCTTCCCATGGCCATTCCTGTGGGCTCTTCTGGAACCTCCTCCCTCATGTTTGAGGCACGAGCCCAGGCTGGGCTGCCTCTTGGTGACTGCTCACTCTCATCTCCCCATCTCTGGTGTCTGGGATCCTTCTTAGCCTCACCTCTTGACATCACTGGCATCCTGTACCCCAACAACACTGTCCTGCAGCACTGGGGGTCTGCAGAGCCCCTGGCACCTAGCCCCAGCCCCCCTGTGCATGGCTAGCTTTGGGCCAGTGTGCCTGTTACACTATAGCCCAGCACACGACTGGCAAGGGCCATCACTACACCTGACCCCAAGGCAGGGGTCACGTGCCCCCACCTGGGTGCCGGCATCACATCAGATCTGTGTGCTTAGTCAGCCTCTCTTGGCATGAAAACATGGGCTACTGCGTCCCTGCCCTACATGAGGGCAGTGGACAGAGTGAGGACAGGATGAGGGTGGCATCCAAAGGCGAGGCCAGCAGGGGCCCAGTGCAAACCCCATCATAAACCTGACCTTGTCTTAAGGAGAAAAGCCAGGCTGGGGCTGAGCCAGTGGTGGAGCTCGACTAGCGCGTGCAAGGACCTGGGTTCCATCTCCAGCACTGAAAAAAGTAAAGAAATTAATGCAGAATCAGGGACAACTGCGGCTTCGAGGGCTAGTAGCTTTGGTGGGATTTGAAGTACCACTTAAGTCTCTATGCAACAGGCTGTGCGGCCACCAGGTTCTTTTGTCACAAGTGGCACCCAGTAAGACAGACAGGACACCAGGAACACCCTCAAAATGCCAGGAGTTACCTGCTGAATGAAACGGAGTGGAAACTACCTGAGGAAATGCGTTTACACACTGCTGCTACTCAAGCAGAACTGGGTTCTTCAGGACTAAAGACTGACCCCTTCAGCTAAGCTACTCTTCACCCCGATCGGTCTCACAAAAACACAAAAATGTCGGCAACTTCCTCAAGCAGGTGCTCTTAGAGGTGAGTTAATGTCACCTGGATACACTCTAAAATTATCGCAGGCATTGACTTTTGAGTTACTTTCTGGCTTATCAATTTTTTATTCGTATTTAAATTCTGAACATGGGCCAGAGTTTTGACACGATCTTGCCATATTCCTTTAAGTCACAGGCTATTTTCTCCTCCTATGTTTAATTTCTTGGCTTTTCCTCTTTATTATTCTGCCTTGTTAGTTTACCATAATTCTCTTCTTGCCTTTGCTGCATGTTAATCCTGCCTAATGATGGCCCTGGGGGCCTGAGGTGGCCCCTGGAAGACGGAGCTGTCTCCACCTGAAGCCCCTTGGACCACAGGCTCCCGTCACTTGCCAGAGTGTCTTTCCCACTCACCAAAGTCATGAGTTCCCTCCAGCTGCTGCAACAGATGACCAGAAACGGTGGCCTCAAACAACACCTACTTCTTGTTGCACAGTTCTGGGGGTCATAATCTGGCACGGGCCTATCTGTGCTAAGATTAAGGCATCGGTAGGGGATGGTCCCTCCTGAGGTCCCAGGAGAATCCAGTCCCTCCTTCTCTAGCTCCTGGAGGCAGTACGGTCTGACCCTCCTGCCTCTTTTCTCATGAGGATCCTGTGATAACCCTGGGCTCCGGATGACCCAGGATGATCCCCCATCTCAAGGTCTGCTGATAAGAAACTTTAATCCCATCTGCACCCTCAATTTGTTCTTGCCATACAATATGACGGAACCATGGACGTGATTAGGGGATTAGGACATGGACCTGGCCAGGGCAGGCCAGGCCAGGCCGAGTCAGGAGAGGTGACTGGCTGCAGCCAACAGGCACACATGGTCTGTGCCAAGCCCAAACACATGTGTCAACTCCTTTTCTTCTCACCTGAACCTTGGTGCCATTTTGTGCCCCAAGATGGGAGGTGTGGGAGGCCATCCTCACATGTGATCCGAGTTACCTGCCCGGCTGGGCAAGAGGCGCTTAGATATACCTTTGTGTCCAGAGCTTTCTCCACCCTTCTCAGGTCCAAGGGATTGTCCGTGTGGAGGTGTGCCTGGCCACAGCCCCTGAAGACCCAATCATCTCACCTGACCTTGGGACACTGCCCCCCTTAATCTTCATTGGATGGGATTTCCCCCCGAATTTTTTGTTCCCAAATAAAAGTCCATTCCCTGGCATGTTCTCTCTCTCTCTCAAGCCTCTTCAGTAAACCTCGCTACTTTAATGGGTAGCTCAAGGCTGGGGGTTCAAGAAGCCGTCCTGGAGCTAGTTTAAAGGTAATCCGAGCCTGTCTTTTTAACTCAAACTCCCTTTGGATTTCCCACATAGCCAAACCTTCACCTATAAAGCCTGTGCTGGTCGCGGGCTAAAGGGACGGAGGCATGAAGGGGACAGAGTCAGGGGGCGGCAGCAGGAGGACTGTAACAGAGGTGGCTGACATGGCTCGAGGTGGGTTTGATTTGCTGTCAGCGCTGGGCTTGCTGCCCTCAACCTTTGCTCTGCTCTTTCCTACTCAAGGGATGGCATATTCCAGAATCCAGATTTTTTGTTTTTTACAGCGACCCAGGACCTTGGGCAGAGGCTGACTGCAGGGCAGGTGCCCCAGGCTGAGGAGCCCAAGGGGGGTGGGCTAATGATGAACGCCTCACCCACCCTCCCCGCCCACATCGGCACGTTGGTCCCCTACTTCTTCACCACCAGGGGGTCCACCGGGCCAGCTCTCGCCCTCACCTGACCCGACTGTGTCCCTGCAAAGCTGTCTGCTCCCCATCTGGTTCCAAAAAGTGACTTCATGCCATCCTCTGCTCTCCAGGGACTCTACCAGGCAGCTACCTGAGCTGACGTCACAGCCCTCCTGTGTGATGCCCGGAACTGGTCAGTCCTCCCTTATCATTCTTACTTAACCTTCATTTCAAAGTTGTTTTTTTTTTTTTTAAAAGATGAACACAATATTTTTACTTTATTTGTTTTTATGTGGTGCTGAGGATCAAACCCAGGGCCTCACACGTGCGAGGCAAGCGCTCTATTGCTGAGCTAGAACCCCAGTCCCTCAAAGTTTTTTTTAAGGTGGAAGCATACCCATTAGTTGAATCATTCCATTGATATATACAGCATTTTAAAAGTCAACATCTAATACTACATTTAGTCAGTTCTCTGTTACTGTGACAGAGGCCTTTAAGTTGTGATCAATTTAAAGGAAGAAAGGTTCACCCTGGTGCTTGGTTTGAGGTTTCAGTCCATGGTCGCTTGGGCCTGGGGTGGCGTAGTACGTCAGTGGGAGCAACGGCAGAGCCCTCCTCACTGCAGAGTGGCTGGGAAGCAGAGCGAGAAAGAGGGGGCCAGAGTCCCAGTGTTCCCTTCAAGGGACCTAGCTTCACCAGCCTCACCTCTCAAAGGTCCCACCACCTTCCACGGCTGGGACCAGCCTTGAGCACACAGGCCTGTGGGGCACATTCGGGACGGAAACTGTAACAAATGCCAACGTGGCATTTTCTCCACACCAGCCTCTTATCTGCAGAGCTCCATTCTCACTTAAAACAGACAAGAACTAACAAGGCACACTGCGGCCGGTGAGTCGTCTTAGGAGGAGGAAAAAAGAACCACTGGGGCTGGGCTGGGGCTCAGCGGTAGAGCGCTCGCCTAGCACCTGGGAGGCACCGGGCTCCATCCTCAGCACCACATAGAAACAAAGAAGTAAAATAAAGGTATCGTGTCCATCTACAACTAAAAAATATTTTTAAAAAAAGAACCGTGTGGAACACTCTTGGGCCTAAGACCAGCCAGCTCCCAGCAGGGCCCTGCAGTGTGCCTGAGGTGCAAACCTTCACCCAGATTCCTGGCTGATAGGAAGGGTCCTAGGAAACTCCGGGAGGAGCTCTGGAGAACCGTCCCCTTTCACTCTTGGCTGAATCCCACCCCTCTCCCCCAGCAGCACAAGAGCATTTACAAAAGGAAAGAGGATTTGCAAAAGGAAAGGCGCTGGGGGAACACGGGGTCTCTGTGTGGGAGACGGGCGAGGCACCACCAGGCCACACCCCAGGATCACAAGCCTGCGCCACCGAGCTAGGCTCCCATGGCTATTTTTTTTTTTTTTAATTTTAATAATGTTTATTTTTCCTTTCATGAATAAAACACTTGCAGACGTTTCCAAAGACACTAGCGACTTGGACATATCACGGGGGACACTAGCGACTTGGACACGGGGGCAACGCCGGGCTCTTCAGGAATACCTTGGATTCACTGTTGTAACTATCTTCACAAATTCTGTGCAATCGCTGTCGCCTGACTTTGCGCTTATCCACAGGCTGTTCTTTATGAAACTTGGCAACTCTCTGATTCAAAAGGCAAAGTGGTCCTCTGAGAACCTGGGGAACTTGGAGGAGTCCACACATTGCATCACTGTGAAGCCACAACAGCCTGAGGCCAGCTCTATGGTCCAGGTGATAGGCTGCCCACCTTCTCAAGGGGACACAGCTTCACTGGTTCAGAACGAGTTAAGGTGGTGAGACCCTCATCTGGGGTGGTGGTGACCATAGGAAGGGGCCCCCCAGGGAGAACGGCTCCACCACCCCACACCCCTTCCTGGGGGAAGAGTACACGGGAACTCTGCACAATCTCTTTAAATTCTTCTATAATCTAAAAAAAAAAAAAAAAAAAAAAAAACTCAAATTCTTTTAAAATAAAAGTTACCCAAAAAGCTCAAAGTGGATGGCAGCGATTTTTATGCCAACAGTGGCATTAAAAAGTAGCAGGGTTTGGTGACTGACTGCGCCTTCTGCCTGTGCCACCTCCTTTGGGTCACCAAGGCCCCTGCACTGCACAATTTAAAATGTCCCCAGCCAGCACACACACCTGTTCCCTGCCTGGTTTTAGTTTTCCTCTGAGCACTCTCAGCCTACTGAGTCACCGGGCAGAGCGAACCAGAGAACACTGCACCCACCTCCCAGGGGAAGCAGGGTAGGCTCCTGCCAGCCTCCTGTCAATACTCGACCTTCACTGATGTTTCCACCCCAAGATGCCTCATTTAATATACACCGTTAAGCCACCCATGCTGGACTCGTGGCCAGCAGCCACGGGCCCAAGTGGAGCTTCTCTGGCGAACACATTGTTTCTGTGAGGTGTGTCACAGCCCAATTGCCCTAAGGGACACTGGACAGTGCCTGAGCACTATGCTTGGGAGCCAGGTTCAATTTTGAAGCCATGAACGAAAAGCACACAAATGTGAACTGCCTGGCACTCCGCAGCCCTCGAGGAGGGCACACCCTTCCAACAGGAGAGCTGAAACCAGAAGGCAGGTGCCTCCGGCTCCCCCCAGCTGGGACCTGCCCTGGGGACACATGTGAAGGGCCAAGAAAGCATCTCGAGTATTGATCTGGGGTCACAGAGATCTTTTACCCAGCAGGTGAATTTGGACAGTATTTGTTTATTGAGGAGGGGTCTCCTTGGAGGAGGGGGCTCTGTGCTGTTCCCTGCTGGCACGGCCTGGGGCATGGTGCTGCTGGATAATGTTCACTGGAGGCAGGGAGGCAGCGAGGGGACATCCAGGAGGTCCCTGGTCTGGGGTCCCACTGAATGGAGAGGATCCCTTGTTGTGAAGGTCCTGTCGGGGGCCTTTGGGGCTCTTGGGGTTGATGCTTTCTCCCTGAAGCTGAAGTCACAGAGGTTTATGCAGAGCAGTGGCTGGGCTCGGCTCCTGAAAAGGCAGCAGCATGAGGACTGGATCGGAAGGTAGCCTTGGGAGCACTGAGGACACTGCTGGGGCGCCCAGGCCTGTGGCTGGGGAGCAGCAGAAAGCGGACACTAGGGCAGTGCAAGGCCCCAGGACCTTGGGTTGGGCCAGGCAGAGGTGGCAAGTTCAGTTCCACTGTGGGTAGGGGTCTAGCCCCTGCCCCCATGAGAACTTAAAGTCACAGCTGATGGCAGCTGATCCAGGAGCCTGGTGTCAGAGGGAGCTCTAGACTGGGAGACGGAAATTGGGGCACAGGAAGTGGGTGAGATTCTAGAGATCTGGTGGCAGCTTTATGGAAGGATTGATCAAGATAAGATGGAGTTGACTGTCCTGAAGGTCTGGCTTTGTTGAGAGGTCAGGGTACCAGAGCAGCCAAATTATATCAGTCATTTATTCTGGGGGACAAGGGGGAGGACTGCTGTATTACAACCACTGTCTCAGACTTTTTTTTTTTTTTTTTTTAAATCAGCTAAAAGCCTTAAGATGCTTTCTCTAGCTGTCATTAGGTCTGATTTCCCCATCTTATATTCACATAGTTGCTCATTTAGGCCAGTAGTTCCCAACCAGGGGCTACTCTGGTTCCCAGGGCCATTTGCATGCTAAGCCCGTGGTCCACTACTGAGCTGCACCACTAGTTTCTCTTGACATTTCTAATTGTTACCATGGGGGAAGAGAATGCTCCTGGTTCAGAAAAGGCGGAGGCCAAGGATGCTGCCCCACACCTTGTGATGCCAAGGACAGCCCACCACGATGATCTGGTCCCAATGGCAACCGTGTCCAGGTTGGGAAACCTGATTTAGACCCAAATGCCTTACACTGAGACCCTTCTTGTGTGCTTCAGCCAACTGCTTCCACTGCTGAGCTGTTTGGGTCCTGACTCTGCCATGTGATGCATAAGGCCCAGTTTTTTTTTTTTTTTAATATTTATTTTTTAGTTGTAGTTGGACACAATACCTTTATTTTATTTATTTTTTAATGTGGTACTGAGGATCGAATGCAGGGCCTCGAACATGCTAGGTGAACCCTCTACTGCTGAGCCACTACCCCAGTCCCAAGGCCCAGTTTTGATAAGGAAGCTTCTTACATCTTCATCTTTTTATTTTTTTTTAGTTTTCGGCAGACACAACATCTTTGTTTGTATGTGGTGCTGAGGATCGAACCCAGGCCGCACGCATGCCAGGCGAGCGCGCTACCGCTTGAGCCACATCCCCAGCCCCACATCTTCATCTTTTTCACTGACATGTTAAGCAGACAACCCAGACAGTGCAGAGGACCTGTGGTGACCTCCTATTGGTACCAGTGCACTAATGAGTAGCTTCAGGAACTTTCACCCAGCTAGTTAGGAGCCTGGTTACAGGATGATTAGCTCAGAAAGATCTCAGCATCTCTGTGCTGCCTCTCCTACCCCCAAGAGCATGTGCAGGATCTGATCAGAGCTGTCCATTTCCATGTGGTCAACCCCATTTCCTGACCAGCTGGACTTGATGTCCATCTGCCAGAGGGGCTAAGGGCTTCTCCATAAGGATCGGTGCTGGCTTCTGAGGCTCCTGAATCTAGCTTGCCTCATAAAGCCCATTCTGCAGGGTTACCTGAAGCAGGGATTCAGGCAGGTATTTGTACCTCATGTTCCCAGCAGAATTACAACAGCCAGAAAGTGGACACAGCTGAGCATCCACCAGCAGAAAAACAGATAAAGTATGACACCCCACCCCCCAACACACACACTTGCTAGACTATTACTCAGCCTTAAAAAGGGAATTCTGACACTCGCTACCTCATGGCCAAACCTCGAGGATGTTATGCTGAGGGAGGTAGGACAGCCATGAAGGGACAAGCACAGCACGAGCCACTCCCAGGAGGCCCATGGAATCGCCAGATCCAGAGAACAGAAAATAGAGAGGTGGTGCCAGGGGCTGGGGGTTAGCGCTTAACAGGGGCGGTTGCAGTTTGTGGGATGGTTGTGCAACAAGGTGTCTGTGCTTAATGCCACTGAATGGTGCATGTAGAAATGGTTAAAATGGCGTTTTACAAGGATGTGACTGCTGGAGGAGACCCGAACCTCAGAGCTGTGGCTCCTCGCAGGTTGGACTTAGATTTCCTACAGGAGCCCGACAGCATTCACAAGGCAGAAGCTAAACAACACCCGCGACTCTTCCTACCGCCTCCGTTGCCAGCTGTCCGGGTGACAGGACCCAGGCAGCCTCCCAAGAGGTCAGTTCCAGCACACCCCACCGAGTTGGCTTGTGCTACAAGGTGTCCTCCTCTCAGCCTGCACTCACTGAACCCCTGGGCAATCACAGGACTGTTAGTGGAGACAGGGGACCTAAGACGGCTCCATATGGCGTCTGGAGTCTCTTGATGAGCAAAGGTGACTGCTGCACAAGGCCGGGGGAGGAGTGCTGGAGCTGCTCACGAGGAGGAAGAGGTGAGAACCCTAAGAGTCAACTATGGAGGAAGCGGCCCTTCAAAAGGAGGTGGGAAGGGGCAAATCTAATCAGGAGGCTAGAGCCCCGTCTCAAGGCCAGAAAGGGACTGAGAAGAAAGACAAGCTTGGGGTCTGATCTCATTTTTTACCCTATTTGGGGGTTAAAAAAAAAAAAGCACAAAAGGCCAAGAATGGGGTGGAGATGGCTCTGAAGTGCCCAGGCTTGTCCTGGGGCTTACTCACTTCCTTTGGCTCAGGTTTCACACAATTTTCTGGTACCAGGATGGAGGACCTCCCATGCCATTCACAGGTACTCCAACACTGGGGGAGTGTAGGCCTGTGGACAGTATTTCTCTAGACCTGGAGCAAAGCTGGAGGCTGAACTGCTGGTTCTCAGCAAAACAATTCTGCCCACTGGGGCCCAGCTAGGAAGGGCAGCAGCTTTCTTTGGGCATCTTTTAAACAATTATGTCAAAACAACTGGCTGTGCAGAAATCAAAATGACATGGCTGGAAACCATTTTAATGAAAACGATTGATTCTGAAAAGATTAATTCAGGTGTAGCTATTACACATCTGAAACCTTCTGGAAAACCCTTCTGGCTTTATTTTTTTAAGTCAGAGACGATTTTAATGTGGGTAATAAAGTGCAAATGTTAGTAGAGGTGGCCGTAAAGAGGACAGAGGAAATCAAATACTTGGTGGAGGCCAATGGGTTTTCTTTCAGCAGATAACAAGCATTCTGTCGCAGGGGAGGCAGGGCACAGAGTCATCAGAATGCCAGGAAAAAACCTGTTTGCCTTCAATGAGTTGGGAAATGATTCAAGGGCACTGCATTTCTGGAAGAAGACAACTGGAATGGGATGGGGTAGGGAACTTTGAAAAGACTCACCAGTCTTTCCAGTCTGAACCTGCCCAAGGCGGGCTGAGCCCACTTTCCAAAGCAGGGGCTTGAACAACTAAGTCTCACTGTTTATCTGGGGTGTGGGTCATGTAGACCCCTCTCCCTGATCTGCAAATACCACGGAGGATCATCATTCCCCTGCAAGATGCACCACAGAATAAAAAGGGTCCCTGCAAGGACAGAAAGACCTGAGGTGAAGAGGACATTTACAAAGCTACACAGCCATGGCCCCAGAAACAAGCTCAAAAGCTTGACACTACTGTATGGGTTGACCAGCAGCCTGGCCTAAAATATTTACTCTCTGGGTCTCTGCAGAAAGTTTGCTGATCCCAGAGTCTACAACCAAACTGGCTTGTCCTGGAAGGAAGCACCTCTTCTCCAGTCAGCCCCGCCAGGCGGCTCACTGCTATGCCTGAAGTGCAGAAGGGATCCCAATAAAGGAAGCCCAAGGTGGATTAACAGGGGAGTCATTAGTGAATTCCAGAGTCCTGAAACAGCCCATGCTGTGGCAAACAGGTGGCCCAGAGGTTGGTTTCCAAGCCTCTCAAGTTCCCCATCTTAGGAATGCAGGTGTAACTATTAATCCCAGAACCTTGCAAAGACCTTCATTAGTATTCCACTTACAACTTCAACATTGTGAGCTTGAATATATTTTAATATATCCTGCATCTCAAGGTCAGATTGTAAGGTAGGTGCAGGGGGTGATGGCTGGTACAACTCTTTCCCTTTCTAAATCTACGAAACTGTTTGTTTTGTTTTGAGACGGGGCTCTCACTATGTTGCCCGAGTTGTCCTTGAAGTCCTGGGCTGAAGTCATCCTCCCAGTCATCTTCCCGCATAGCTGGTACTTAACATGCCCACCACTGCACCCATGTTAACATCTGTATTTGGTGAAAGTGGTGTTTGAATGCACTGGGAGAGAATAGTTACACAGAGTATAGACAAACAGCCAAACATCTGACAGATTATAATATCAGGCACCTATTTATACTTTATAATAAGCTATCTTCAGAGAATAGATTCAAAAGCTTTCCAGAAAGAATCCAAGAGCTTTCTTCTTTCTTTCTGCAATTACCTGGCTTCTGCATGAGCCCAAGTTTACCACTCACTGTAACTTGAAAATATTGAAAAACTGTTATGCACTATGGAGAACCTAAAAAAACGAGCACTAGTAACCAGCAGACTTCTCCTCATTGAAGAGTCATTTGCAATAGAAGGTTCTTGCGCTTGGCTGAACAATGTCCCCCTCATTTTCACACCCACCCAGAACCTCGTGGCCTTACATGGGAAGACAGCCTGTGGGGATGTCTTAGGTAAAGATCCTGAGGTGCAATTTCAATTTTGGGTGGGCCCTAGAGTCAATGACTGATGTCTTTGTAGAAAAAAAGAGAGGGAGACTGAGACACAGCAAGACACATGGACACAGAGGGGACAGACAGACAAGAGAAGCCCAAGTGAATAGGGAGGTAGAGACTTGAGAAATTGGCCACTGGCTACCTTCTAAAAACTGGAAGAGGCATGGAAAAATTCTTCCCTAGTGCCTTCTGAGAGAGCCCAACCCTGCAGACACTTGATTTCAGTGTTCCACCCTCAGAACTGCAAGAGTTTGACTTTTTTTAAAAACTACATTTTTAGT